CAATGCGCTATCCATTGCGCCACAGAGCCATTGTACAAGTCAGTTGGGTCTCAATAACACTGGATATGATCTGTTTGCTGAAGACGTGTAAGAATTTTAATTATGTTTGAGAAATGCATAATGCTACGACTCTGGTGGGACTCGAACCCACAACCTTTGAATTACTTTATCCTGTCTAGAAGTCCAATGCGCTATCCATTGCGCCACAGAGCCATTGTACAAGTCAGTTGGGTCTCAATAACACTGGATATGCTCTTTTTGCTGAAGACGTGTGTAAGAATTTTAATTATGTTTGAGAAATGCATAATGCTACGACTCTGGTGGGACTCGAACCCACAACCTTTGAATTACTTTATCCTGTCTAGAAGTCCAATGCGCTATCCATTGCGCCACAGAGCCATTGTACAAGTCAGTTGGGTCTCAATAACACTGGATATGCTCTTTTTGCTGAAGACGTGTGTAAGAATTTTAATTATGTTTGAGAAATGCATAATGCTATGACTCTGGTGGGACTTGAACCCACAACCTTTGGATCACTTCATCCAGTCTAGGAGTCCAATGCGCTATCCATTGCGCCATTGTACAAGGCAATTGGGTCTCAATATGGCTGCATATGCTCTGTTTTCACTATGACGAAGAAAGATTGTAATATTAGTTGGTACAAATATTCAAAGTACCTTGACTCATATTTTTTGTCTGACTACAGTCTGTTCAATAAATGATGGTACAATTACCCATCTGTTGAAATAGGGTTTATTTTTTAGTTTGAGGAATGCATATAAGAACAACTCTGGTAGGACTCAAACCCACAACCTTTGAATTACTTTATCCTGTCTAGAAGTCCAATGCGCTATCCATTGTACAAGTCAGTTGGGTCTCAATAACACTGGATATGCTCTATTTGCTGAAGACGTGTGTAAGAATTTTAATTATGTTTGAGAAATGCATAATGCTATGACTCTGGTGGGACTTGAACCCACAATCTTTGGATACCTTCATCCTGTCTAGGAGTCCAATGCGCTATCCATTGCGCCACAGAGCCTTTGTAGAAGACAGCAGGGTCTTACTAAGGCTACATACTCTCTGTTTTCACTATGACTTGAAATATGGTCCTACTAGTTGGTACAAATATTCAAAATACCCTGTATTATATATTTTTTTATCTGACTACAGTCTCTTCAACAATTGACAGTACAATAATGTATCTTTTAAGATAGGGTTTATTTTTTAGTTTGAGGAATACATATAAGGATGACTCTGGTGGGACTTGAACCCACAACCTTTGAATCACTTCATCCCCTCTAGAAGTCCAATGCGCTATCCATTGCGCCACAGAGCCCTTAGTTATTGGATTTCAGTACCGTGACAGACTTTCTTTCATTAGGTCAGTAGAATAAATAGAATTTCATGAATATTTGTGTGACAATTGTGGAATTTACTATATTTGAGAAATGAATAATGCTATGACTCTGGTGGGACTTGAACCCACAATCTTTGGATACCTTCATCCTGTCTAGGAGTCCAATGCGCTATCCATTGCGCCACAGAGCCTTTGTAGAAGTCAGCAGGGTCTTACTAAGGCTACATACTCTCTGTTTTCACTATGACTTGAAGAAATATAGTCCTAGTAGTTGGTACAAATATTCAAAATGCCCAGTATTATATATTTTTTTATCTGACTACAGTCTCTTCAAAAATTGACAGTATGATAATGCATCTTTTAAGATAGGGTTTATTTTTTAGTTTGAAGAATTTATATATGGATGACTCTGGTGGGACTTGAACCCACAACCTTTGAATCACTTCATCATGTGTAGGAGTCCAATGCGCTATCCATTGCACCACAGAGCCCTTAGTTATTGGATTTCAGTACCGTGACAGACTTTCTTTCATTAGGTCAGTAGAATAAATTGAATTTCATAAATGTGTGTGACAATTGAGGATTTAACTATATTTGAGAAAAGTGTAATGACATGACTCTGGTGGGACTTGAACCCACAACCTTCGAATCACTTCATCATGTGTAGGAGTCCAAGGCGCTATCCATTGCGCCACAGAGCCCTTAGTTATTGTTAAGTTTCAGTACTGTGACAGACTTTCTTTCATTAGGTCAGTAGAACAAATTGAATTTCATAAATGTGTGTGACAATTGAGGATTTAACTATATTTGAGAAAAG